ACCCCTACACGGTCACAGAAGTCTTCCTGGGCCCGGGGTACCACTGACTTGCCATGGACGCATACTGCCTCAGCACTATTCTCTATTCCACGATGGTCGGGTCACTGTCCTTCTACTCAAGGAACCCTACAGACCTCAAGAGAAAATTGTCAGTGGAGAATACCATTCACCACAATTTTTTTCCCCTACGAACAAAAAGACTTATTCAAAAGTGACTATCACTGATTTCCAGGGAGCATCCTTCACTGGAACAAGTGATGGAAAGTTTCTAAGTGAAAAGTGTCCGGAAGATGCCACTACCAACGTATGAAGAGGCACTCCTGGATCACCCGAACCCCAAACAACCCAGCTCATGGTGCCACGGGATTCCAGGCTGAGAACATCTCAGTGTCAACATTGGAAAAGAATTCAACTATTTCATGTCACATACCTCATTTGAGAAGGGAAGAAATAACAGAATAGGAAGCACTCCACCATCAGAGCTGCGTCCCTTCCTCCTGGGGTCCCCACCTATCCTCCCCCTTCTGCCAAAGTTTCATCTTCCCTGCAAAACCGAAGAAGGCTCAAAGCAAGCCAGTATTTTTTAATTTGTCTTTTCTGCTGCCAAAGCAGGGAAAGAAGTCAGAGAAAGTCAGATTCCCCTTTCCCTGCAAGACAGAAGAACCAGGAAGCAAGAAGCAGGCTGGGGAGAGGGTAAAAGTGTTGCGGGCCTTCTTGTCTACGCAGTGTGCTGCCGTTCTTAAAATCCACTTCGTGGGTGAGGGTCCACTCGGTGTCAATGCTGAATCTCTCTCCAGCCAACAGCAGTTTAAACCCCAGGAAGAGGGTCCCTGTGGGCCCCACTGAGCTCTCAAAGGGCCCCTCTGGAAGTGCCAGCCCTTTGAGAGGAGGTGCCTCCCTCAGACCTGGCATCCACTGGCACTGGACAAGGCCAGAATTGTTTCTGACCCCTGACCTGCGGTAGAGCTTGGCATCTCTTCTCTTGAATCTGGGGCTCCAGCCTCAGCCTGCTGGGCTGGGTTAAGAGACCATAGGAAAAGGGCCTCAGGCACCAGAACAAAACCTAGGAACAGAGATAGCCCCCATCAGCATCAACCCAGGCCAGGCATCAGGAGCTGTGCAGCCCTAGGTGCAGGCTGGACAACCATGGCTTGTTCATTTCCCTTGGGCGCAGTATAGTGAGGAGGTACCATAAAGCAGGGATCGGTCTCCATCTCACTTCACAAGGAAATTACTAAATAGGCAGTCATAGACCACCATTCGCCAGACTGGCCCAGCATGCTTTAAGGGGCCCAGGTTGTCGCCTCAAAAGGCGCTCACCATCGAGCACCGTCCCTTCCTCCTGGGGTCCATATCTCCCTCTGTCAAGCGTTCCCCTCCTAGCAACCAAAGAAGGGCTCCAGCAAGCCATGTTTACTTTTATCAATCTTCACAGCGCCACGCTGCCCCCAAGCGCGAGGGGGCCGAAGTAGGAAAATCGTTAAGTTTTTGGGCGCGCCAGGATGCAGGACCATGAAGTAGAGAAAGTGCGGCTGGGGGGATCAGGGGGGTGGGTGTCGTGGGCCCTTGTTCTTCAGTTTGCTGCGTTTTAAATCCACTTGGGGATGAGGTTCCAACCCAGTGACACAATATCTGAATCTCCCTCCACTTAATGCCAGTTGGAACCTGAGAGAGAGGGTCCCCCCTGTGGGCCCCGTGCTGCTCTCAGGTCTGTCCGTTCCCCACCTGTCTGCCATCCACGTCTCTGGAAGTGCGCCTGTGGTGGAAACGGCCTTCCCCACACTGGATTCCACTGCGCTCGGAGAAGCCGAATTGTTCTGGCCCATGTCCCGTGCCCCAAGTAGAGATGACATCTCCAATCTAGAAGCCAGGGCTCCAAGGACTCGGCGGGACGGGCTGGGGTCAAGGCGTCTAGAGAAGGTGTCCACGTACCAGGGAAAACTTACAAACAACACAAGAAGCCTCCGTCCTGGTCCAATCCAGCGGGCTCCTCAGGAGCATAAGCCTAGGTGCAGGGGGGGGGCCGAATCAAATGGTGTCGCAGATTTCCCCTTGCGGTGCGCGCGGGTATAGTGAGGATCATAAAGCAGAGGGACGGGTTCCATCTAGCTTAACAGAAGGAAGATACATATTTGCGGTCTAGCACCATTCCCAGAGAACTGGCCCGAGCATAGTATTAATGGGACCGCCGCAGTGTCCCTCAAAGAGCGTCCCACCGATCAGAGCACCGCTCGCCCTCCTCCTGGGGGTCCATCTATCCTTCCCCTCTGTCAAGTTCCACCTCCTAGCAACAAAGGGTCCAAAGCAAGCCGTGTTGTATGTTATCATTTCGGTGCCAAGCAGGGCAGAAGTCAGGAAAAATCAGTTAAGATTTTCTTCCCCCTCCACCCCAGAGATAGCAGGCCAGGAAGTAAGCAGCTGGGGCTGGGGCAGTGTGGTGGGAGTGTCGTGGGGCCCTTGTCGCTTCAGGTTGCCTTGCCGTTTCTTTATAATCCACTTTGGGGATGAGGTTGCCCAGGTGTTCAATACTGAATCTCCCCCACTTGAATGCCGTTGCGACGCGAGGAGAGGGTCCCTGTGGGCCCCGTTGGGCCCTTCGAGTCTGTCGTTCCCACCTTTGCCTGCCATCACTCTCTGGAGTTGCCCAGCCTGTGGTTTGTGAAGGACGCCTTCTCCCACACTTGGCTTCACTGCCTCGAGATAGGCCAAATTATTTGCTGGCTCTTGTCCTGCCAGTTGAGACTTGACATCTCCATCTAGAGGCCAGGGATCCAAGCTCGGGGAGAGGGCTGGGTCAAGGATCACCCTAGAGAAGGGGTTCAAAATACAGGGAAACTCTACAAACAAAACAAAGAAAGTGGGACCCGGGCGCCGGTGGCTCAAGCCTGTAATCCCATGCACGTCCCGTTGGGAGGCCGAGACGGGCGGATCACTGGAGGTCAGGGAGATGAAGACATCGCCCTGGCTAGCACGGGTTAACGCCGTCTCTACTAAAAATACAACGAAATTAGCCGGCGAGGTGGGGTGGGCGCGCGTCCCAGGCTACTTCGGGGAGCTGTAGGTCAGGAGGAATTGGCGTGAACGTGGCGGGCGGGGAGCTTGCCAGTGAGCCGAATCGCGGCCGCAACTGCACTCTAGCCTGGGGCCAGGCAAGATCAGCTCGCTCCCCACACTCCAAAAAAAAAAAAAAAAAAGAAAGAAAAAAAAAAAAAAGGAAAGCTCCCTCCTGTGTCCATCCAGGCCGGGCCTCAGGAGCCATACAGCCCTAGGTGCAGGCTGGGCAACCTTGGCTTGTTCATCTGCCTTTGCAGCCAGTGGCCTCCTTTTGGGAGAATATTCTTGGCATGGAATGACAGCCATGGAGGGTGGGTAGCAGGCCTGAGCAGGGTAGGCTCTTTAGTGGCAGCCCAGAGAGGAGGAACAGGCAGTGGGGGACTTTCCAGCTCCACTGTCCAGGTTAGGCCACTGAGGCTGCAAAGAGATTGAGTAGCATCCCCAGTGATATCTGGAAAGGAATGGATGGCAAAGATTTGCTGTTTACCCCGTCCCATGCTGCCCCGCACACACCCAGTCACTTCCCAGTTTTCTGCTTTGTCCCCCTTCTTCGGTTCTGAAGTCATCCTGTTTTACACCTGTCACTCCCGCTGGAGCAGGGACCTTGCCTTCCCCACAGCCACACAGGTCTCACACCCAGTAGGCCCTCAATTAATATTTTGTGTGTAAGATACAATAAATCTTTCTGAGTTTCTCTTCGAAGGGTTTAGCCTGTTAACTTCCTTATCCTTTGTTCTCAAACTCAACTTTCTTGTTCTCCCTTGCCCCTGGTTACCGTAAACAGCCTACCAATTCCCATCAGCTCTAATCAATAACTCACATCTGTTCCCTTGGTTACCTGTACCCACTGTTCCCCCGAAACTGCACATCTCACACGATTCACCTCTGTACCTCACGTCCCCCTCCCCTGCTATATTTAGGAAAATATGTACAAGTAGCCAATCGGGTCAGCTCAGATTGTGCAGTCACCCCAGCCCATGCGGGAGTGGCATAGAGATAGGGACTGCATTAAGCATAAAAACCCCCTGGTCTCCTTTGTTCTGTGTGCACTGGCAGTCTTAATTGATGCGAGTGACACCCTTCCGCAGAAATAAATTGCCTTGCTGAGAGGATTAAACTTTTGCGCGAGTGCCATTTTTATTCGTGGCACCGAGCATTTATTCCTGGAGTATTTTATATCCAACATGTGGAATCGGTGAGTGGGATTCAAGCCCAAGGTGTGTCTGCAGAGCATTGGAAGTGCAGCTCTGGGTCCCTGAGGCTGCCCAGCAGAGCAGGCTTGGGGACCCACAGGGGCAGTGGACGCCTACTGTGACTCTCAGCAAGGCTGGTGGGACTGTCACTCACTAAGCTTATTTGCTCATCCAATCTTGGGGATCCTGAGCTCCCTGTGGGGCAAGGTTGGTGGGTTCACAGCTGCCTCCGAGGGTTTCCTCAGCAACCTCAAGTAAGACTCTGCTCCTTACTTGCCAGCACCTATTACTAAAGAACACGGGGGCAGAGAGAATGGGGGCGTCATGGTGACAGGGGTAAGGAGAAGGCCAAGAGTTTTCCACTTTTGGTGATGGCCGTGGTGGTGGCCACATGACCCAGGGCACCATCTCTCCCTCCTGTCTGTCCCCTGCTTCCTCTGCCCTGCCACCTCCCCCTTCCTCCCCACCCAGCTCGCTGCAGTCCTCTCCTCCACCTTTCCAAGGTAGATGCAGCTTGCTGCTCTCCTGATGCCCCTACTAAGGCTGTGGTTTCTGGGCCCCACTGAATTCTTGGACTTTATTTCCCTGGCCCCCTCCTCTACCTCCTTTCTGTTTGTCCCAGCCCCACCCCCAAATCCCTCTCCCCCAGTTCTTCCTTTGCCATTCCTAGTCCCCTCATCCTGATTCCTCTTCTAGGTTTTCTCTAAGTTATCTTTTTATATACTTGCTAATATCTGTCCCCTTTTCCCCTAGACCTCCTGTGCAACACGGAATGGTGAACATCTACAAACAGGAATCCCACTCCTGGCCCTAGCCATGACTCAGGTTTTGTGAAGGGGTGTGGGGCAGGAGAAAAAGCAAACCCCACCAAACCAACACCCAGTTTAGAGCCTGATCTAAGTGCCACTCAAAACACGTTTCCTCCCTTTACTTTCCTATACCCCGAGAATTCTTCCTGAAAAAGGTGGCCCCTGAGAGCCATCTAAAAGCATCACGGAGTGGAAGGGCAAGGGTCCTGAGAGCTGGTCTTGCGTTCCCTTGTCCCCAGTTTTCTTGAAGAAGCTGAGCTCCAGAGAAGAGGCAGGGCCCGTGGGGTGTTTGAGTTACACTCCAAGTCTAATTTCCAGTCCAGCAATCCTGCCCCCAGAGGCTCCCTTCATCTGTCCACTTGGCCAAGGAAGGGGCGGGTTGCCCACGCCCCCTGCCTGGCTACAGAAGACAACCACTGGAAGGGTGTCCTTGTAACTGGGGTCCCAGAATCATGTCTGCATGGAAAGGGCCCAAGGAGCTAGAGCCCTTTAGCCTCAAGAAGAGTGTGAGGGACTCAGCATCCTTCTGAAACCTAAACCAAATTTTGGCCTGAGCTGTTTTCACCGTCTGTGCCCTAGAAGGTTGTGAAGCTCTCGAAGTGAGTCTTCCTGTTTCCCCATCTTCTGAGGCTCAAGCCTTTCTCCGAGCCTCCGTGGGTCCCACCCTTGCACCCATCACACGGTGTCTGGGCCCTGCCTTCCTGACTCACCCCCCCACTTCCACCCGCGGCCCTATTTCCATTCCTGAGACACTCCACTGGGCACTGCTGTTCCCTCCATTAGAAGACTTTCACAGGCCCTGACCATTCCTTTTGCTAATCAAGTGAATGTCACCCCCTCAGAGAAGCCCTCCCTGAGCACCCGATCTGCAGTAGGGTCACCCCTATCTCTCGCCCTCACTTTTCCTGGTGTCTCCTTCCTAGCCCCTATCTCCAGGGGGAGATTTCTGCACTGATAGACTAGTCTCTCTCACACACCCGGGGGCCAGCATGTCTGTCTTCTCTGTCCCCCACACGGGAGATGGTCAGTGTTCACTTGTTGGCATCAATGTTCACTTGTTGGCATCAATGAAACAGGAAGGCCCCTGAGGTGCCGGGATTGGGAGCCCTTCACCCAGGTGAGGAAGGAGCCTTGAGGAAGGGGAGAGAACCCAGGTTAGTGCCCTCTCCCTACCCCGAGGGTCAGCCCCGGGCAGGGATGGTCACTATGCTTTGGGATGTTGTGGGCAGCAAGCCACCCAGGTGCCAAGGCAAGAGACCAAGGGCACAAACTGTTCCAGTATAATAAAAAATATATATGGAATAAGAATAGTTATACTAGAAATAGATTATAGATATGATTATATATGAATATCATTAATCATTAGTTGGTAACATTACTCTTTCTTCTGATGTTATAACCTTTGTTCTACAATGATAACCTCGGAAAAACCAGGCCATACAGAGATAGGAGCTGAAGGGACACGGTGAGAAGTGACCGAAAGACAAGTGTGTGAACCCTCTGTTACGCCTGGCCAGGGCCACTAGAGGGCTCCCTGGTCTAGCGGTAACGCCAGCGCTTGTAGAAGCGCTGACTTCCATAGTTCTGCAGGAGGACTGCCACTCCTTGTGGAAGGCCTGACATCCACAGGCTGGCGGGCAGCCATCCGGAGGCCTAACCGTCTCCCTCTGATGCTGTGCTTCAGCGGTCATGCTCCTGGTCCGCTTTCATGTTCCACTCTGTACACCTGGCTCTGCCTTTCAGATAGCAGTAGCAGAATTAGTGAAAGTATTAAAAGTCTTTGAAATGCATAGAAGAAATAATGGCATAAGCTGCCAAACAGGGAAGGGCCCACTGTCCGGTGGACACGTGACTCACGTGACCTTATCAATCATTGGCGATGACTCACACTCCTTACCCTGCCCCTTTTGCCTCGTATCCAATAAATAACAGTGCAGCCAGGCATTCGGGGCCACTACTGTCTCTCCGCATCCAGGTGGTAGTTGTCCCCGGGGCCCAGCTGTTTTTTCTTCTCTTTGTCCTATGTGTTTATTTCTACGATCTCTCCTCTCCGCACACGAAGAGAAAAACCACAGACCCAGTAGGGCAGGACCCTACAGGACGCCTCTCCCCTGTGCCCTTGACAGGTGGCCCGCTGGGGGACGTGGCCGCACCCGGTGCGCTGTGGTCCTGGAGCAGCCGCCTCCGGGCGGGCGGCACTTAGGAAGGACAAACTCCAGAACCCACGGCTCCAAAGGACGAATGCATGGGAAGGTCCGGAGGCTCAGGGGAGTGACCCCGCGTCTGGGCCAGCGCTTTGAGGCCCCTGTGGACCAGCGGAGAGGGCCCGGGTGAAGCCTCTGGAGGCGCTGAGCGGGGCGGGAACCGCGGGACCCGCAGAGGGCGCCGGTCCCTGTGGGCGCAGCAGCGCCTGGAGGGAGGTGGCCCCAGCCTCCGGCAGAAATCAGGCTCACCCCACGGATCCCTGGCTCCAACTCCCAGGCCAGGCTCTGTCTCTTTGCCCAGGCTGGGCGGGGCTGATGGCAGTTGGAAGCCCAGCTCCCCGCCGCTGACTGTCTCCTGGCCCCGCCCCCGTCTCCATGGAGCCCGAAGGCGCCGGACAGCCTGTCAGAGGCTGCTCTCGCGTGCGCCCTATCTGTCCACCGCCTAGGGACACCGGGTTGCCTGTCCACGCCTCCACTCCTGGGCCACTTCCCCGCGGGGCGGGCAGTAGGGCAGTGAGGAGTGGGAATCTTGTAACCAGAGAAGGGAACTGCCCCCAGGCCCAGAGAGTTCGGAGCCTGGGTACTGTCACTAACAGACCAGGACTCCCGCAGCTGGGCCCTCCCCTAGAGTCTTCCTGCAGCTAGGGCCTCCTCCAGAGGGGCTGTGATTGTTTCCCCGGGGTGGGGCTGAAGCCAGAGCCCAGAGGTTTGCCCCTGGGGCACGGATTCCCAAGGTCACTGGCCTCCCACGGGCTGCAGTGAAGCAGGCTCTAGGGGAGGATGGCCAGCTTTTCCCCTGCAAGGATATGAGCCCCAGGGAAGGCACTCCTGCTCTGGGGATTGCCTCCCTGCCCTACCTCAGAGCCAGCCCTCAGAAGCTTGGCCAAGCTGACCACTGTGTCTGTGATCTCTGCCAGGGAGGCTGAAAGAACATCCAGCCCCACCTGTGGTCCCTTCCGCCTCAGGCTATGTGACAGTATGACTCCCCACCTATTTCTTCGTTTCCCTTTACCCCAGGGAACGACTCCCACTAAACCAGCTGACGTGGGACCCCTGGGTCGATTTTGGCCAGAAGATGCTGACACCATACAGAGAGCCTGGGCACCTGGGCCCCCTACAAGGCTGGTCATGGTGTCCATGGGATTTCAGGCCTCATACATCTCTGAATCAGTATTTCCCCCACAAAAAATATGCATGTAATTATCCCATGGCCTTGTACCTAATCCTGGGGTGCAGGAGAAGTGCAGAGGAGGAGGCACTCCGTCATTGGAGCACAGTCCCTTCCTCCTGGGGGTCCCACCTGTTCTTCCCTGTCTGACAAAGTCCACCTTCTCTGTGGAACCAAAGAGGACTCAAAGAGAGTCGGCTGTTCCCACTTTTTGATTTTCAGCTGCCTGAGGAGGGCCAGAAGTCGGGGCAGAAGCCCACCATTCCTGCTCAGAACTCTTCCTGGGCCTGGGGTGCCAGTGCCCTGCCACGGACATATGGAGCCTCAATGTCATTCTCTATTCCATGGTGGCTGGGCCCTGCCCTTCTACTCAGGGAACCCTACAGACCTCAATAATAAAACTATCACAAGAAAATACCATGCCCCACCATTTTTTCCCTTCAACTTGAAAGACTGATTAAAAAGTTACTAACACTAGACTCCAGGGAGCGGTCCCCGCCCCAAACAACTGATGAGGGACCCATGGGAGAACAGTGGTCAGGAGATGCCACTGATACTATACGAAGAGCCACTCCTGGACCACCTGAGCCCCAAACAACTCAGCACATGATGGTCATGGGATTCTAGACTGAGAACATCTCCATGTCAATAGTAGAAAGAAAATTCAACTATTCCATGGCCCCCTACCTGATTTTAGAGCACCCAAAACAAAAGAGGAAGCACTCTACCATCAGAGAACTGTCCCTTCCTCCTGGGGTTCCCACTTGTCTTTCTCTATCCACTGAAGTTTCCACCTTCCCTCTCCCACTGAAATGAGCTCACAGCGAGCCAGCTTGTCACACTTCTAACAAGCTGCCCAAGCAGAGTCAGAAGTCAGGGCAGAAGACCACCATTCCTGCCAGTGCACGTGCTGGCCTGCAGAGGAAGCCGGACAGTTTTAGTGAAGCCCCCAGCATGACCCTGTGGCCTCCCCCTCCACCCAGAGCACCAGAAGCAGTCGCAGAGACCCAGAAACGTCCCTGGCCCACTGACAACCATCGCAGGAAGCCAGCTTCCTCCAAGCTGGACAGCCAGAGGCTGTGACGTCAGCCTTGCCAAGAAACCAGGGCTGCCGCAGGGCTGCCAGAAGTTGACTTTCATTTCTGCTAAGATTCTGTCACTTGAGCCCAGCGCAGAACATTCCAACCAATAAAACCGCCCCAAAGAAGTAGTTGGACAGCAGTAATGAAGACAAAAATCACGTAGGTGGGGTAGTCAAACCACACTTCCTGCATTTTATGGTATTTATTAGTATTATTTTAGTTTTACTATTAGTATTAGTATTAGTATTCTGTCTTTATTAGTATTATTTTAATTGGCAAATCATGCTTGTATTCATTCATGGGATACAATGTGAGGATTAGATAGATGTGTGCACTGTGGAAGGAGGAAATCCCGCTACTTAGCATCTCCACCACCTCAGAGACCAATTCCACATGATGTTCCGGAAGTGTTGATCTAAAAAAGTTGACCTCTTAGAAATGGCAAGTAGATTGATGTTGCCCTGGGGCTAGGGAGTGACAGAGGGAGGGAATGGGGGGTTGTCGGTCAAAGGAGCAAAGTCTGGACAGGAAGAAGAGGTTTTGACATCTAGTGCACAGCAGTGTGACCAGAGTCAATGAGAATGTCTTGGATTTTGCAAAACACCTGA